CCCTAAACCCTAAACCCACTATAGCCCAAACCTGGAAACCCATAGATCTCCAAGTTTGGTTGATGTATGATCACACACGGCCACGTCGCGACCTAAAGTGAATTAGGTACCAGATGATAGATGACTTTCGGGGCCGCAAGGGAGGTTTTCAGGGTTTAGGGGTTTAGGGGGTTTAGGGGGTTTAGGGGCTTAGGGGTTTAGGGGTTTAAGGTTTAGGGATTTAGGGGTTTAGGGTTAGCAGTTTTTAGTTTGTGTGGTTGACTGTTGTGCATCCTTCCCGTCTTGTGCAGCAGTAGTCTTACTCAGCCGACCCCACACCACATGCCTCGTTGTCCATGTTTCAGCACTGAAACCCCCAAGTTTGATCGAAACGAGGCTTTGGGATTTCTCGGTGCGTTCGCACACGGCGCCGGACAACCCGCGCGCCTCGGTGTCGGACTTCTCTGAGTTGGGGTTTAGGGTTTATGGCTTTGGGTTTGGGTATTGGGGTCTAGGGTTTACCGGTTTTTGGGTTCTGAGTTCTGGCAATCAGGTTTAATTATAGTTGCCGTGAAGTCCGGACCTCCATGCATCTTTAATTGCTCAACCGGATTTCGGGGAGAGACGATAGCGCCTGTGTAAATGTCTGGCAACTCAGCGTGCTGGCAACATCCGAGGATGATTCTCATGCTGCTCGGCTTTCAACTTGGCTGGGTTTAGGGGCTTTGGGGCTTAAGATCTAGTGCCAGGTTCGCTGACCTCTAAATCCCAAACCCCAAACCCTAAACCCTAAACCCTAAACCTTAAACCCTAAACCCTAAACCCTAAACCGGGAAAAAAAACGGATTCTTTCAGTAGATTCGGGCTTTCCAGCCTGGGGAGTGCCCTAGACTTAGTCTCTCGCAGCCTGAGGCCTGGAGACGTGGTTTTTGTAAGTAGAATAGGGTTTTGGGATATATGGTTATGACAACAACAATATCAATACTAACAATAAGAACAATAGCAATATTAACAAGAATAACAACAAGAATACAAACAATAATAGTAGCAATAATAAGGACAATAAGGTGCTTTAAGGCTTTCTTCGATCGGCAGGCTTCAGAGTTCTGGAAGTGCAAGCTTGCAGGTGGGGAGACTTGATTGATGGCCTGGGCACATCGGTTTCCGCCGACTTCGATGCCCAATCCTTCGCGAACATCACCACAGAGCAGCTTCAGGCAGACATAGGAAATGATCTTGCCTTCCGGGTCCGAGTGTGGACATCTCCAAAGAGCCAGGTATTGGTAGAAGAGTCCCTAAACCCTAAACCCTAAACCCTAAACCGTTGAGTTTAGGGCTTTAAGGTTCCTGGGTTCCTGGGTCGCAGGCCTTGCATTCCGCCGCCAACGACCAGATGATGGAAAGCGCTGGCGCCTTAAACCGTGAGCGGTGTCGTTGAGTGTGGGCCATGCGCGTCTTCTTACTATAGGGGCCTTGAAAATTAGAATAGGGTTTTGGGGCCCATTATACTATAGTTATAATAAGGAACACCCAAAATAGTATTGTTAATTATTTAGGCTTCTATGTTAATGTGGCCTATGCACGTCCTTTGCTCGGACGGTAAACCTACCTGTTGAGCAGTGGGGGTAGCGAGGTGGTCCTATGCAAGTGCTCATTCAATGGCTCCAGGTTGGCGAAGTCGCATTGAAGTTTGTTGTGCACCTCGGCCGGGTGTGCTGTGAGCGAGGTGCTGGAGACTGTGGGATATGCGGCCACCTCATGCTTTACATCTGCTAAACTAGGCTGTGGAGGACTTGGGTGCTGAACCTTTTCGATTCTTCAGCCCTAAACTCTAAACCCTAAACCCCACTGTTTGCGCACTTGCTTGGTTAGCTGCGCGGCCGAAACGGAGGCTACGCTATACCACAGCAGCTGAGGATTGGATGCTGTGTTTGCGGCGCAGCTGCTCTGCAGGGCTTCGCTTTTCCATGGCTTCTTGGGCCTTTGCAGCAACGTCTTGACAAGCTGGTAAGCTTGTTCGCAGCAAGCACGGTTCGGCTTCGGAAGACTGCTGTACTTTTGCCTTAAGCCCCCAACAGAGAGTGAGTAGCTAAGCTCGTGCCAGAGCTAAGTTGAGAACAGTGACATTTGTAACAAGGTTTGTGGACAGCCAGCTGGCGAAGATGCGAACGCTGTCTCTCGACCATGCACATGGTTTATCACGAGGCCTTCGAAACAGTTGAGCGAGGGAAGCCCCTCTGAAAGATTGCTCTGCAGGCTTCCGGGCACCCTTTAGGCTGACTGCGTAGAGGACCGCGGGGCCAACGACGCAAGATACTGCATCCGGCGTCACTGATTCAAGTTGGTGCCAGATCCATCGTCATTACAAACCCTACCCCAAAATCCGAGACCCAAAACCCTAAGCTCTTAAACCCCAAGCCCTAAGCCCCATGCTCTAAAGCCTCACGGCTCTGAAACGATCGAACTTTTGGTCTGCTCCAGGGCATGGTGACAGGAGAAATTCCGAGAACTTTCGAACAAGTCCAGTCAACTTCGTCGCCAGGGTTTAGGGTTGAGGGTTTACAGGGTTTAGGGAGGAATGCCTCCAAAGCCCAAGCCGAAATCCAAAATCCTGGAAAAATCGAGGCCTTAAGCCCGAGACCCAAACCCTGAGCCTGAAACGCATGACAGTAAACGTATTTACAGGTCGGCCGCCCTCTTGGATTCCAAATTGAATCTACAGAATGAAGCCAAGATGCCCCCAAACCCTAAACCCGAAAGCCTTAAATCGTACACTTTCCAGGTATTTCGACGCGATGTTGCATCGGGACGTCGGCTGGTTTGACACCCACTCGCCGGGAGCGCTTCCAGGCGTTTCTTTCCTGTGTCCAAAACCGGCTGCTTGAGAAGAATGCTTTAAAGTCAGTTTCAGCTTTAAGTCGTAATTTAGCTTTTCGGCTTACTCCCATAATTTGCACTGGGTCGCCTGAACCGTACGGCTCTCAACCCAAAAGCCCTGAAACAAACAGGGGAGATGAGCGCGGATCTGGAGACGTTCGCCGAAGGCATCTTGGGCTGTGAGCGGGATGTTTCCTCGGTCCTGCTGCTGTGTCATAGGGTTTAGGGTTAAGGCTCAAAAAGGGTTTAGGGTTTAGGGTTTAGGATACGGATTCAACACGAAAGTGGCAAAACCGAAGGCCAGAGAATGAGATGCTTCGCAAGCGACCATGGGTGGGTAGGATTTTTCGGTAAGTGTTGGGCAAGCAGAAAGTTTTTGAGCCCTAAACCTTAAACCTTATAAGCCCCAAACCCTAAACCCTAAACCCTAAACCCTGCCGACGCCGACCTCTACCTCTGGAACCTCGCCTGGCATGTCCGAGTGGTGAGAGCGTAAGCCCTGCCGAGGTTTCGGATCGAAACTCGGCGTCAGCGTCATGGCCTTCGCCGGGGTGTGCATCGGGCTGGGAATTGGTTTCTTTCTGTCCCCTCCTCAGATGCCGAGGTTTAAGAAGGGTGTATCATATTTTTCAGTGCCTAAACCCTAAACCCCAGTGCTTTGCGGACTGAAGATGTCAATGGTGAGCGAAGGTCATGGGAGATTGCGCTGCTGATGTTCCTTGGCTTCTAGAGGCTTGATCCAGGCTTGATGCCTTAATAATTAGACTAGGGTTTTGGGGTAGATTCTACTANNCCCCCCCCCCCCCAAAAAAAAAATGGTAAGGGTAACTATAAAGGCCCCTTTGTTAGCGAGATTGCGACAGATTGCCAGTCCTTGCGTCCCAAGTTTCCGGAGCCCATGCAACCTGGAGGCATGCCCGAATATGCGTAGTTCTCTAAACTAGGTTCCCTTTTTGAGTCCCCAAGATAGTACGGCACCCTTATAAAAAGAGACCCCCCAGAGGGAGCCTAATTTAGAGAACTACCCATCTGATGTCACGGGTAAGCCTATGCAGCCCCGGTGCCATAATTTTCTCCGCTCGGAAGTTCCGAGTCGGGGGCCTTCGTAAAGCCGAAAAGACCTACCAACGGGGGTTCCGTATTAAGGTTTCTCTCTCTCTCTCTCTCTCTCTCTATATATAGATAGATAGATAGATAGATAGATAGTTCCTTAAAGAGGTAGGTTTTTTGGGCCACAGGCTCGTAAAGCCCTTTCAGCAACTTCTTTGGAACCCCTCTTTGTCGCGTTTCTTGTAGACCTCTTCTAAGATCCAGAAACGAGCCCTTGGAAGAACCCTTATGGAACCCCTGATGAGGCCCCTACATTGTAGGACCGAAGCCCGGAACGAAAAAAACAAGCCACTAGCAACCCTACTGGTAACCTCTGCAACCTCATGGTAACCCGCATCAAGACCTTTATGGAGACCCTAAACCCTCAACCCTAAACCTAAAACTTAAGCCTAAACCCGAAGCCCTAAAACCCTTAACCCTAACCCCTGAACGAGCTCTCCCGCTCAGGTTGGTCACGCTCCCACTCATGGCGGTTGGTGGTGTCGTCATGTCCAGTGCCGTCTTGGACGCCAGGAGATGCGGGGGTCGGACATTGGGAGTTCAGGGTTTAGGGCTTAGGTAAGTCTTAAACCCTAATACTACCCTGACCCTAAACCCTATAAACCCTTATACTTGTAACTTATAGAGGGCTCAGGGTTTAAGAGTCAAGGTTGAGGGTTTATTGTTGGGACTTGGCCTTTCAAGTTCAGGGTTGACGGTTCTTGCCAGGTACATTCAAACAGCTCTGACATGTGTTCCGGGGTCTTGTTCTTGATGATGTAGGGGCCTTAGTAATTAGAATAGGATCTTGGCGGCTCCTTATTATAACTATAGTATAATTTTCCCCCCAAACTCTATTCTAATTTTTGTATAACTGTTGTGCTTATCTGAGGCTTGTCTTCTTCGTATCGATGCATGGCCCTTTGATGTGTATAGCAGGTGTTGCATCCACGGCTCACGACTTGCATGCCTCAACCCAACACCACATGAGGTCATCGTGCGCCGCAGGCTCCGCAGGTCCCTGAACCCAAAACCCTAAACGGTAAACCCTGAACCCTAAACCCTGAACCCTAAACCCTAAACCCTGAACCCTAAACCCTAAAAAGTCTTACTTCCTTGTGCTTTTTGCCTGCCAAGCCTGCTGAGCCTGCTGAGCCCGCTGAGCTTTTGCGACGGATCTGGCAGCTGACAGGGATACGGTTGATGATATAAATCCTGCATTACCCATAATTGGGAATATAGGGTTGAGGGTATAGGGTCTACGATGGATGATAGAAATCCTGCATTACCCAGAACCAGGAATATGCCATCATTCCCATAGTATAGGGTCCTCAACGTAATCCAGCATTCATATCATCAACCGTAGGACTGTTTCGAGGGCTCCAGAGCCTGGCATTTCACCCTAAAGCCCTAAACCCTGAACCCTATACACTCTACCCATAGGCCCCTAAGTAGTTCCTTTCTATGGTTTATCTTTAGAACACTATAAGGCAATCCCCCCCCAAAAAAAATAACTACTAAGGGGCCTATGGGTAAGCCTTACCCTTCGAAGTTCCCAGCGCAGGCGTGAGGTGCAGGGCCCCTACGAGAAGGCTGCGGCGTTGGCGGACGAGGTGTGGCCATGGTTGCGCTTTTCCTTGCTTGAAGTATCCTAAGGCTCATGGGCCCTCAAACTGAAAGAAGATTGAGAACCCAGGGTCCTAACTAGGAGGTACCGGGCCCTGTTTAGGAGGTTCCGTAGAGCCATGAGGTACTGTGCGGGTCTTAATAATTACCTATACATTATTCTGCGGGCTCCTTATTATGATTATGGTATACTATGCCCCAAGACCTTTTTCTAATTATTGAGGCCCCTATATTACCTTTCCTGCACTCGCGCCGCAAGCAGAGATGTGCCCTGTACAACGCCGTGTCAGACTGGCAGTTTCCAGACGGCATCGTGCCGCAGACTCTCCGTTTGCAGTTTGGAGCAGTGAGCTACGTAGTCGGCCAGCCAGTGCTGTCGTTGCGATGTTCGTGCCTACGTACTGCTCCAGCACGGTCGGTAGCCAGGTGCTGTATGCGATTCGGACAGTTGTGACTCGGCACGCATGTTGGGGAAGGGCATGCTAGGACTTGGGTGTGCTCATGCAACGGGGTCGTTCCTGGGTTGATGCGACGGTGAAGAGCATGTGAGTGTCCTTAAACCCCCAAACCCTATCCTCTAACGAGGGAAGATCCTCAATGCAGAAGCTGCAAGATCTATATGGTTAGTTCTCTAAATTAGGGTCCCAAAACAGTACGGCACGCTTACAAACAGGACCCTAAAAGGGGCCCTGATTTAGAGAACTATCCATATAGATCGCCAAGTCACAAGTCAGTTGTGGGGCTGAGCTGGTCTAGTCAGATCGGAGCGATTCCGGAAGGAGGATACACCCCTTTCACACTGAACCTGAAATTCTATAACCCTCAACCCTAAGATCCTAAAACTCTCTCTGAACAAACGCCCCGTTGGCTTTTGACCCACTTTATGTGCTAAAGCGTTCTAGACAGTTGTACGCAAGTATTTTGACTCAAGCAAGAACAGTTCCAAGTGACAAGCATGCAAGTACAAAGTAATCCCGCAAATGATTCTCAAGACCTGGGGTGCGTTAGCCGTCGCCCAACAAAATTCGAAGTGTGCGTGAACTGCTAACACAAGAGTCCGCCACATGCATTGTGTCAGGGTTGTTTAGGTAAGCATTGATTCTCGCAGAATCCCCACCCGAAACTCTAAACCTAAACCCAGAGCGCAAACCCTGAACCCAAGTCCAACGTGTCCAACTGGAATAGGCCTACGGACTTCCGGGCCTACAAATTTCCGCCATGGACTATACCCGAGTAGTGAAAGAGTACAGGCGGTGTGCCTGCGCACTCCAATTCTTCATGATCGGCTGCGTTCTTGTCTATCTGGCCCAGCGAAGCTTGGAAATCATCAGCTCTGCTGAAGATCCGCCTGTGGACGTGAGTACAGAGGCCCTGAAGCACTTTGGTGAGTGGGCGGTCTGCGCACATCCGAATCCACCAACCTCCGGGCGAGCAATTGACAGCATTGGGATCGGAATCCCAGAGACGTACACAGGCGCTGAAGACTTGCTGTGGCTTTTGGAGCAGCAGCCGCTTAGTGCGAAGTCCACCCAGCTGGTCTCTCAGGTGAAGAGGCAAATCATCCCATTCTCTGGCTTTGAGCTGAACTGCGTCGTTGTGGATCTTTTGAATGCAGACCTCCGGATCCCGTCCACGGCCAGCATTTGCACGCAGCCTCTGCCTTTCACGATCGACTGGCTGCTGGTAACAAAGAAACCATATTACTATTTACTGTAGATCCCTACTTTGGTAGCTTAAGTTAAGTTTCTCAAGATCCCTGTTATGGTAACTTTGGTTAAGTTCCTGAAGAAGAACCCAGGCTGATGCTCAACAGCGAGACGGGCTGGCGCTACGTGACTGAGATCCGGAGCGATGAGTATCCCATGGTGCGCTGCTGGGGTCTTGTTAAGGAACTTAACTTAAGTCGCCATACTGTTGATGATATAAATATCATCAGCCGTAGTAAATAATGTGGTTCTTTATTATGGTGACTTGAATTATTTCCTGAACCAGGCTATTCGGTGGCCAAGCATGGGTGGAGTTCTGGCTTCACCTCCCAGGCCAGTCAGATCCTGACGACTTCCGTAACTGTCCGGGAGTCTGGTGGCGAAGCGCCTTGCATCTGGAGGCACTTCCCAGAGACTCCAATATCCCCTAATTAAGGAATATACCTTAAATCTTATTGGGGTTCCTATTATAATTTAAGGTAGATTCCTTAATTAGGGGATATTGGAGGCACCCCAAACCCTAAACTTTAGGCCCTAAACCCTAGACCCTAAACCCTAAACCCTAAACCCTAAAAAAACACCCTAAACCCTTAAAAAAAAAAACCCTAAACC